CAACAACAACAACAACAACAACAACAACAACAACAACAACAACAACAACAACAACAACAACAACAACAACAACAACAACAACAACAACAACAACAACAACAACTCTATGTACCTGTTCCAAAATCAACTTCAAAAACAATCTTTCCATTCTGTAGTTTCACAAGAATGTATGAAGTGGGACCTCCTTTGATATACAAAAGTAGACCGTTAGGTTTTCTTGTTTTGAACTGCAAGTTGATATCGTCATTTGGACTTTTGATGAAATCACTCATGTTGTATGGTCGCTTCAAATATTGTTTGCCATTTATCTTGACACAATCTGAAACATCACATCAGAAACACATTTAGTTGATCAGAACTGAACATTTATCTGTGGAAACCACCACATGCATCCTAATATTTGTTTTACAAAGTTGTCTTACTTGTCTAACTGTATCAACTCCATGGCATTGCATGATCTTCATGGTCATCATATCATACCATATACCATACCATACCATATAGCATAACATACCAAACCATACCATACCATACATAATCTTCATGGTCATCATATCATACCATACCATATCATAGCATAACATACCAAACCAAACCATACCATACCATACATGATCTTTATGGTCATACCATACCATACCATACCATACATGATCTTTATGGTCATACCATACCATACCATACCATACCATACCATACCATACCATACCATACCATACCAAACCTACCATACCATACCATACATAATCTTCATGGTCATCATACCATACCATACCATACCATACCATACCATACCATACCATACCATACCATACCATATGATACGATACCAATACCACACCATACAGAACTATGCCAAATCACAGCTAACAATTTAATTTAGTTAACTTACCCTTGGAAAGGCCATGGGTGAGAGAGAAAAATAAATGTAGGATTACCAAAATCGAGGAATTCATTCCGGCTACTTTGTTTTGTTACTAAAACACAATGATATTAACAATTGTAAGCTATAAACGATGATGAATTCATACATTTCACATGCACTATAAAAATGATAAAATGGGAATTCTCTAGAATAATCCGATCACTCAATTGTGACTGGATGGCACAGCATTAACTAACACCAGTAGAATGCTCATGGGCATATTACTGGATTTTGGTATACATATGAGCATGCGTGATTATGAGCATATTATATGTTGGTACATATATATGAGCGTGCTCATGAGATATCAAAATAAGGTATGCTCATAAGCACGCTCATATATGTACCAAAATCCAGTACGCTTATGGGCACCCTGATATATATACTGTCTATCATGAGCATATTAGACCATATTATTGGATTTTGGTATATGAGCGTGTTCATGAGCATACTGGATTTTGGTACATATACGAGCGTGCTCATGGGACACCAAAATAAGATATGTTTATATAAGCACACTCATTTATGTACTAAAATCCAGTACGCTCTTGAGAACCCTGATATATACCAAAATCCATTATCCTTATAAAAATGCTTAGGAGCATATCATTAGACTTTGGTATATATATGAACGTAGTGCTCATGAGCACGCTGGATTTTGCCCCTGTCGCCTGTAAGAATTAAAGACTACACAAGAACGTTACATAATCGATAGTTCTTGTAACACATAATATCTAGTTAAACAGCTGTTTCAGAAGTTATTAGTTTGCAGTTTTGGAAAACAACTTGAGAGCGGGTCGAGACATATAACATGAAAGTTTGTTTTCATAATATATTTTAATTATACACTATAAACAGCTGGTCCAAGCACATTTCACTTTGCCACAAAGTAATGCATATATGAAAATATGTCTTAAAAACTAAGACTATAGTTGTTGAAAAAGCTATAATTTTATAATTTTATTTATACTTGATAGCTCTGTCAGTGCTAAACTGTTAATACTGTTTTCCCTATAGACGATGTTGCAATTATAGCCATTTCATGTTGGTTCAGTATTCCTACCAGAGCTGAAACCTACATAATTTTAATTTTGTATAAATACTTGCAAGCTCTATCAGTTCTAAACTGTTACAGTTAGGACCATTCATTATTGCTCCATTGCAGTTATAAAGCAACTTGAGCCAAACTAACTTAATTTATGCGAATAAAGAACAAATTTTGACAAGTTTCTTCTCAAGCAGTTGCACCTTTAAACCACGCTCATCAACGCTCATCATAACATAAGTTATGTACATAACGTCATCTGTTGCCATCTGGCAATTACATGTTTTACTGCTATCACATTTTGTCTAAATTTTTGTTTTCTTTAATCGTTCATCCTTCAAAGCCAAATCTATTTTCCTTGTTTTTCGTTTCCCAACTATTTTCTACCTTGTTCAGTATCGTCAGACTAGGACTGGACTCTTCGACATATTTTCATGCCTGTAATAATTTTCATTCCCTCGGTGCGTAAAATCTTGTTTTTCCAGTAAAAGATTAAGCAGTTAAATGTTGAATTCATTGAGGTTATGGTTGAAGCCCAGAGTGATGCCAAGCTTGCATTATCCAAAGTAGATTCTTTTGCTGTCGAAGTTGTTCTTAGTCCAATATAAACGAACACTGGAATGTTCAGCACCACAAAACAAGCGACTGCCAGCAAGCCATTCGATATATTTTTCGAAGAAAACGTCTTTTTCATCTCGGGCGATATTCCGTTTCGAAATATTCGACTTTTTCTAGCGATTGTAAACAATTTGTAGTTCATGAACAACATTGGGAAAATGATAATAATAATAAATATTAGAAGAGCAACTTGATAGGGAATAACGTTAAGAAATAGCAGCACCACAAGGGTTATTTCCACAGTAATTAAATGTATTGCAAGAATATTTAAAAGTTTTCCCTTCGTTACCGATGTTCGATGAAAGAAAGGATAATATGTCGCCAAATATCGATCAAAATTCATCACCAAAAGAGCGAGTAAAGAAAAAACAATGAAAACAGTTGAGAACCTTCTGGAAATAAATACCCGGCCATGGTATGCATTCAACTTTCCAGTCAAGAATAACATGGCATTAAGAGCCGTCAGTGGATGACTAGTTAAAACCGCAAGCAAATCGCAACAAGACAAAACCATTATCATGAAATGGCATAATTTTTTTCGAAGTTGCACAGACCTCCGGAAGCTGAGTATGACCAAGGAATTTAAACATATTCCTGAGAAAAAGAACAATACGTTCAAAGCAAATATGAATATCAGGTTGATGAAATGAAAGAACACCATCGTGCGTCTTCTGAATTGTCGTCCTCTTCTGAAACACTGAACATAACAAGTATATAGGCAGCAGATGATATGCTTAGAGTGACATTCCTGAAATGCATATATGATATAATTATATATATTGCTCATAACAATGAGAACTCTTCATGGACATTTTATTAAAACTAAACATTGTCTTTTTTACATGTTCATGTGTATAAGACGTACGTTGAAGTTGCCTCCTACACTTCTTTTCAAATGTGGAAAATTCATGGTCCGGTCTTGCTCTAAATTGTTTGCTGGAGAGAATTTCCATTTTAAGTACACAATCCTAATCGCACTCCTACCCTAAAGACTAACGACTCCAAGTCATCGTTTAACATCGTCAACGTCAATTTTTGTGATATCATCATACGACCATGCATGCTTAAGTCTATGGACTATGATTTATAATCATATATAGGTGTTCATTGCAAAGACCATATACGGCATACCAGATCAGTTTTATTATCAAACAGAATCATGAGTAAAGCCATTGCTGTTATCAATCGCATGCCATCAACATTCTAAAGTCAGTGTGGCTGTTTTAGACTTAGGTGCATGGTCTGTAATTCTATCACGTTACGTGGGGGCTTGCTCTTATTCGTATGACTTTTTATCCAGGTTTTCGTCCACAAACGGTATTTTCATTTTTCTGCCGGAGCTTCAGGCTCATTTTAAATAATTTTTACATCAAACGAAATCTTTAATGTTAGAGAGTACAAACCCTGTCCTTAAGAGCAGACAAAATATCAGCGATATAAGTATAAGATAAAAATATGAAACTTCTATTAGGAGCACTTAGTCTTAGGAGAAGTAATTCATTCGAATCATTTAATTTTATAAAAAAATCCCATGAGCGTACTCATCAGCATACTAAAATTAAGCATGCTGTCTGTCTGTCACCTGACTAGAAAGTTTGGAAATTGCGCGGGGGAGATTTCGAAAATTTAATAGTAAATATATAGAGAGCATCGAAAGTGCGCGGGGGATTTCTCCCCCGCGATACAAACTTTCCACATGCATGTTCATAAGCACGCTCATGTATATGTGCCAAAAGTCATACTCGACCAATAGTCAAACTCTGTTCTGGCACATTGTCAACACGCGCAAAAGCGTACAATTTTTTTTTTTTGGGGGGGGGGTGTTGGTGGTGTCGAAGAGTTACGCAAGTAGGAAACGCGATCTGTTTGACACGTGCATCATGACTCGCATCATGATTTCTGATGACAAAAGGTTTTCCTGTTAGTTTATTCTGGAAGCGCGAAGTTTGTTTAAAAGGTACTATTTCAAAGTCACCCGCGTGTGAAATTTAAATCATCTGTGTATGCAAAGAAACATTTCGTGCGTCATGCAACGGGAGTTTGAACCGCAAGATTAAACCATCGGTTGCACTAGACTGACCGCAAAAAATCATTCAGGGCTGATTACATATAAGATCCCGGGATCATCATCAAAATCATATCCTGCCTCACGTCTCGTCCAGAAAAATTCATGGGATCATGTATTAATTAAAGCAACCCCTTACAAGGTCAGGATATGCCAGAAAACAGCACAAAATTCTAACACTGTTTCAAAAACAGATTAATAATTAATGAGGGAAACATATATGTGGTAGATTCCCCTTGATTTACATAAACTTTAACTTTGATTTTCTCGACCAACACAACGTATTTTCGGAAAATTACTTCGCCAATGAACTTACTATATCGATCGTTTTTGAAGCAATTTAATTAAAACATTCGCAGTGCGTGTTTTATCAGACCAGAAGATACTCAGCCATGAATATAAGTAACGACGAGACTGGCACATGAGCCGCCCATGAGGCAATATACGGCAATATGGTAATTGGCCAACTAGGACATTGCTCTCCTGTTCCCCTGTGAATTATTTTTAAATCTCTATAGTCTCTGTCTGCATCAGTTAAATCATGCGACTTTTTAAAACATTTTCGCTGCAGATTTCACAATTTTAACTGTACTAAACTATATACTTTATATTAATTTTAGTATGTATCGTAGTCTTCAACAGATGAAGAGCCTTATACTTGCAGGAAAATAATGTTTAAGAAATCTTATATTATTAAGCGGCCAGTTTTCATTTGGCAACAGGCCGCATGCCTGAGCAAAAAAATCAGTGCACGATTTTCCGACTGCAGCGTGGGAAGAAAAAGCAAAAGGTCTCTTTGAATTTCATTTTGTCCTGATCCAATAGGCAATACGCTTTAAGCATTGGTTGGACGATGTTGGTACAACAACGAACATAATCTTTTTCATGAACGGATTCGCCCGCATTAAGCATTTTTCTGCCAGCATTTTAAATCGGCAAAGCCAAGGGCAAGGGAGGGAACAACTAAATTCAACAATATCTCTCTCAGTCCAATTTGTTCAGTTGACTCCTAATACAGAACATAGTTAATACAAAACTACCACACATAATAAAAAGAATTAACATTATTCTGATGCTTGCATACTGGCGGTTAATAAAATCTACCTAAATATGCCGGCTGTTGCGGTTTTGAAAAAGTACCAAAAACCGATACCACAACTTAGTGAGCGAGTGAACTTCATTTAAGCACGGAGGCCTGTCATCGAAAGTCCGAAAAAATGCAAAATTGGTCACGTGACAGTAACATATTTTTCATCGCAGTAAACGTGGATTAAAGCTAGACATACCTACAGTTTATTTTTGAATATTTTTAGTAAGGCGAGACTTTTTTATTTATTGGTTTACGGATTTGACTTCAAAAAAAGCAGGCCGGTAGGTCGGAAAAACATTTTTAAAAAACCCGACACTGAGTATATTTAAAATCGATGCAGTTTATCTTCTAAACATTTAACTTCTACTTGGAAAACATGCTAATCTCCACATTTATTATGTCTATTATCACAACCAGCGTTGCCAATTTGTAAAAATCCCAAGTGAGCTCCCAAAAATCCCGAGATTCCCTAAAAATTCCCGGTATTCCATCTTTTTTACGTCACTATTATTTAGGTGGTTTTCGCGTCAATTTCGGGTAGGATAGCCTCGTACGTCATGTTGTAAAAACGAAAACTGACATTAAATATGCAGCTGAATGGGGTTCAAATACAAGCGGACGAACTCTAGATTTTTAACAAAATTGTTTATTGGTCAATTTTACCAACAAATAGATTTCTAAATTTCGAACTTCCCTTTCTCAAAATATAAAAAAAAATCCCGAGATTGACTTTTTAAAATAAAAATCCCAAAAAAATCCCAACTGCTTCAAAAAATCCAGAGATCTCGGCATAAAATCCCGGACTTGACAGCACAGAATTCACAACGTAACATGAGCCAGCAGTACTTAGAGTCAAAGTTTACTTGGCGTGTACTTCATGCCAGAATCCCAAATTAACTAAAATCGTAAAATTGTTGTATCAAAATTTATTTTTTTATTTTTCACTTTCTGAATATTTACGGTTTGCGGATCCGTAAACCAATCAATAAAAAAAGTCTCGCCTAAGGCGGAATTCCTAATTTCAATTGGTATTGAATTTCATACCACTGCTCCACAATTATATTCGAGACTATTTTTAAAAAAAATGGTTATAGTGTTTGGTTTAGCGATAAAAAACTGTAGTCATGACCTCGTGTATCAGGACTGTGAATTAAATTCGCTGGATTAAACGGCCGTGAAAGATAAGATGGGCATAATTTGTGGAATACTTTGAACATTAGACAAGCTTTTTGTTTCATTAGCCTACTCTTCTAGTGTCGGCCAATTTAAGTTATTAAAACTATGGGAAGAGCGTATTTCATAGCTGTTCCTAGTTGCTGAACAGTGCCAGTGATTCAACTTTTGCTAAATCTGAAATAACCAAAACGCCACTAACCTTTTATTCGCTTTCCGCTAAGCAAATTTCAATATCCTGGATTTGATATCTGGAATACTACAACGAACAGCTGTTCCTCGGCTCAACGTGACGGACTTATGAACAGTGAACGATAAATGATCGATATAAAATGCCGTGTGATTTTGGCAAATTTACAGCTGCTCATATTACGCATTTCTTGGTATTTCATTGGACGAGCGTACAAATCGGATGTAAAAATAACAATTTACAGAATTACAGTAGACCTGTTGAATGGTGCTTTGTTAGGAGAAGCGGTTAGAAACTTCCCACAAAAATAAAGTATGCATGTTTTCCTCGTCTAGAATTTTCTCGTCATAGAATTTTCTCTCGTGTCGTAATCATTAGTTCCACCCATTGTTTGGAAAACAACGAATAGAAACGGTTAAAGTGGAAATTGGATATGCAAAAAGTTGCTCAAATATTAAAATAAACATTGTGTACCTTTCTTCGTTTTGTTTTACACAGAAGACAAAGTGTACTAGTACAAACATTATTTAATGACAGTTCTATTCTGGCTATTAGAGTTTGAGAAAATTCAAGGTCAGGAAGATTTATTGCTGGCGCATCCAATTCTAATTTACATTCTAAACGAGCTTACGAAGAATTCAAGGAAGTTTTTCCCCAGACGCAACCGAGTCTAAAGAGGATTACTAAGGGAGACGCTAATTTTGTGTGAACAACCGAAGGGTAAACTTTTTTTTATTCTCAATTAAGTTTTACATAATATACATATGCTATGACAATATAAACTGAGAAATACGACCAATTTAATGAATTTATAATGGCAAAATTAACGCTCTATATATAAATACAGAAGTTATGAATGCGCTAATATACAACGGCATACGACTTAGATCGCTTTTACACTATCGCCCGTTTTATAAAGCTCACTCACACTCACATTTAATGAGTGGAGGTTCAATCTGAGCTTCTCTCGAGTGTTAATGCTGTTTTTGAATAGCTGGAGGGTTAGTGTCGTAACTTACTCGGTGACTACTCGCCCTCCAGTTATTAAAAAACAGAATTGGCACTCAAGAGAAGCTCAGAATGAACCTCCACTCATTGAGTGTGAGTGAAAATTTACTACGTCTCTACTATTGAGACTATATTGTGTTTACAGTTTACACTATAACGGAGTTAAAAATTCACTACGTTTCTTAGTATTGTGTTTACGCTATAACGGAGTGGTTTGCCGTAGCGTATTAATAAAACTACGGACCACTACGTTTGGCAATTTGCCGTAGCGTCATCGTGTATTACAACGCGGCCATAGTCAAAAGACATGTAAAAAAACAGTAGTAATTTTACGTAAATTATCTTTACGCAAATTGGGATCATGCATATTAAAGCGTCCCTTACAAGATCAGGATATGCCAGAAAATAGCACAGAATTCTAACACCGCGTATCTAGTATTGTTAGTTTTGTAACTGCATAATAGATATATCAAAAACACCAACTCTATTGTAAAATTATAGGATGGCTTCTCATGAAGGAACGGCGGGACTGGCATATGCTTAAAACCACCCATGAGACAATATACGGCAATAACGATAATTGGCGATCCCACCTTAAACTTGAAAAAACTTCATGTACTAGAACATTGCTCTCCTCTTCCTTTGTATATCTAGTTTAATAGACGACTAGAATCTAACACCTTTCAAGACTGCGCATCTAAGCTCAGTTTAATTCTCTGCCTGCATCAGTTAGATCATTCGACATTTTCGTAAAACATTTTCGCTGCAGACAATTAAGAACTTTCTTCTTGAACATTGTAAATAATTTTAACTGTAGTTAACTATATATATATATATATATACTTTGTATTAATTTTAGTATGTTTCGTAGTCTTCAAAAGATGAAGAGCCTTACTTGTAAAGACATCCTGTTGAATAAATCTTTATTATTATTATTAAGCGCAGTTTTCATTTGGGCAACAGGCGCTGCATGAGCTGAATGAGCAAGAGAAAGTCAAATACACGATTTTCCACTGCGGCGTGGGAAGACAAAGCAAAAGGTCTCTTTAAATTTAATTTTGTTCTGCCCCAATAGGCAATATGCTTCAAGCAGTTGGACGATGTTGATCCAACGATGAACAGGCTAGGCGGCTTTACAATTACAGTTTTCTACGCGGGTTTATAGACAATTTGGCTAACGTTTGTTTCTACCAAATTCACATCGTTCTAGTTTACAGAAGCATATTAAAAATAGAACAAAGGCAATGAAGACATGCTCATCAACTCCGGCTAAGACAAAGGCGACGATAAATTGTATTCTCTTGAACATCCCACAGGGTGTATCAAAAAACCTGCAAACTCTTTGAAAATTGAAATACAATGTTTTTAGAATTTGCATGATTCAGAACTAATTGATCCCAAACGTGCGTAAACACAAGTCACACAATAGTTGACCATTCGCAGTCGAACTGATAATTAGTTTTCTCAGGCAGCGTTTACACTGTACCGTTTTCGTAGCGTTCTCGTATTGTTCTTAATCCTCAAGGGAACGCAAGACAATAGTCTAGTTCTCTCGAACAATACGAGAACGCTACGAAAACGGAACAGTGTAAACGCTGCCTCAGTGCATTACACTAAAACTTTGTGTTATTCTAATTTCTATCGACGCGGTTAATTAGAATGTATTTTCAAATCCCAGGAGCAAATTAAGTAGCACAGATAAAATGCTAGTATTAAGCAGCATAATTATGCAAATTATAGTGTTTGCAGGTTTTTTGATACACCCTGTATGGTACCCTAGTACGCTGTAGTTGCTCGAACTGCTACGTTATTTACATCACTGATTTTCACGGCCTACAACCACGCCAACAATTCAGACGTTCGAAGTCGTTCTATGTGAATTGAAAAAGGGGCAATTTAGTAATTTTGATATCTCAGTACCGTTGCTCGTTTCCGTTTACTGTTTTACACAGTACAAAGCAGGTTGCATTCGACAGTTTTAGGCAAAAGTTGTGTACCGTCAATCGGCTTTGTTTACGTTTTCTAGTAGGCGAAACTGGCCAAGAATTGTAATATGCCGCATTGTTAGTTCAGAATGGAGAGCATAATCATTAAGCATTTTGCTGCCAACATGTTAAACAAGGCAGCAAGGCAAGGGAGCAACCAAATTCAACAATATCTCTCTCATTTCAATTTATTCAGTTGACTTCAAATACAAAACTACCACATATAACGAGGAGAATTAACAGTATTCTGATAAATGCCAGATGCAAACATTGCACAATGGCGGTTGGTAAAATCCACCTAAATATGGCTGTTGCGGTTATGAAAAAAAAACCCCAAAAACCGGTGTCTATACCATACCACAACTGAGTGAGTGATATCGCCTATCTTCTAGTGTCGGCCAATTTAAGTTATTCATTCAAAATTTGGGACTAAGTCTAAGAGCGTGTTTCATAGTTGTCCGAAGTAACCAAAACGCCACTAACCTTTTATTCGCTCTCCGCTAAGCAGATTTCAATATCCTGGATTTGATATCTGGAATACCACAACGAACAGCTGTTCCTCGGCTCATGTAACGGACTTATGAACAGTTAACGATAAACAATCGGTAAAATGCCGTGTGATTTTGGCAAATTTACAGCTGCTCATATTACGCATTTCTTGCAATTTCATTGGACAAGCGTACAGTCGGATGTAAAAAAAAATAATTCACAGTACTCCTGTTGAATGATGCCTTGGCCTTGGGGGAAAAGCGGTTAAAAACCATGAAAGTAAAGCATGTTTTCCTCGACAACGTGGCATATAATTTTCTCTCGTGTCGAAATCATTAGTTCCACTTCAATGTTCGGAAAACAACAAATGGGAACGGTTGAAGTAGCTAGAAAACAAAATTTCCGCAAATGTCATCGGCTTTGTTTTGTCACTAATGTCTGAGTCGCAAGTGGGTAAGGTACGGGGATTATAAACCACTTACATTTTCTAAAAATAAGAACCGGCCATCCAAAAAACGCATTCTGCGTCGGGGGTAGATTGCAATTGAACTAAATATGCACCGGAGACTAGAATATGCATACCAAAGTATTCAACTGTTCAATCATTATTTGGCGGACATGCAAAAAGCCCTTCAATCATTATTTGGATATGCAAAAAGTTGCTCAAATTAGAAAATATATTCCCTCAAGACCCCGTTCACAAACTACCGGACGAATTTGGGACCGGTATGAAATTCGTCCTTTTCGCCTGTTTACACGCGAATTTGTCCTGTTAGGGGGGCTCAAATTCGTCCGGTTCCGTGGTTCCGGCCATAGATATCAGTTATATACACTAGATAGTGCATTTAATTATTCTGCAATTCAAAGATTGAAGCCGTGATTGCAGACTCAGGATATTCCCATGAAATGAGAAAACTCGCATGTTTTCTATTTCTTAAACAGGGAACTTAAACATTAAGTTAAACCTATTCCAAATACATTTTCAAACTATTCAAATGATGAAAGTTGTTGTTTTTAAGCGTTTATTAGCGAGTGGGAAACTCCAACATGGCCGCCATCTATTCAAATGGGGGTGACTGCTGGAATATTCTTGGCTTCAATTTTACTAGTAAAGAGATGCGCTATCTAGTGTATATAAGATATCTATGGCTCCGGCCGAAACGGACGTATTTCAGCCCGGTTCAAAAT